AGCGTTCAGACGGATATGAACTGATGCAGTGTGCACTGTGTGGAAAAAGGCTTCTTGAAATTGATACCTGCAAAGCAAAAACAAATGAAAACTGATCCCAAAGATATCAGTGTTGCTATTACTAATTCATCAGACTCTCACTTTGAATTTATTAGAGCAAAAGAACTCACAAGAAATAGCCCACAAAAATACCTTATAAATGAGACAAATGTCCTGAGCGCTAACCTGGCAACTACTAAAATGTAAGGTATATATTCTCACATTATAAAAGCAAACGAGCATCCAATAATCCAGCTGAATTAGTGAGAGTAAACTTTATTTACTCTTTACCTTGTTAACTGTGTTGTGACACAAGGCAAAGATCACATGCTGTGGTAATTAGCAGTCTTAAATGGCAGGCAGTGCTTTCTGGGAATTAAATTTAAATGACTTTACCTAGCAGTAACTTTAGACATTTTTGAAACAATTGGAAGGAAAGATGTCAGCTGCATTTTGAGGAAGCAAGTTGCATGCTTGCTTATGGCTATGGTTTTTGTTCTCGTTAATTTGATTCAGGGTTAATTCAGGGTTTACACATTATTTCAATGTGACTGGATATCCGAGGCCTGTTCCCAAGGCAATATTTCTCATTTTAATTTAGTTTAACTTGATGTGAAAAAATAACTAAAACTTAAAAAAAAAAGTGATTATATATATATATATATATATACACACGGGTCCTTCTCAATAAATTAGCATATTGTGATAAAGTTCATTATTTTTCATAATGTAATGATAAAAATTAAACTTTCATATATTTTAGATTCATTGCACACCAACTGAAATATTTCAGGTCTTTTATTGTTTTAATACTGATGATTTTGGCATACAGCTCATGAAAACCCCAAATTCCTGTCTCAAAAAATTAGCATATCATGAAAAGGGTCTCTAAACGAGCTATTAACCTAATCATCTGAATCAACTAATTAACTCTAAACACCTGCAAAAGATTCCTGAGGCTTTTAAAAACTCCCAGCCTGTTTCATTACTCAAAACCGCAATCATGGGTAAGACTGCCGAACTGACTGCTGTCCAGAAGGCCATCATTGACACCCTCAAGCAAGAGGGTAAGACAGAAAGAAATTTCTGAACAAATAGGCTGTTCCCAGAGTGCTGTATCAAGGCACCTCAGTGGGAAGTCTGTGGGAAGGAAAAAGTGTGGCAAAAAACGCTGCACAACGAGAAGAGGTGACCGGACCCTGAGGAAGATTGTGGAGAAGGAGCGATTCCAGACCTTGGGGGACCTGCGGAAGCAGTGGACTGAGTCTGGAGTAGAAACATCCAGAGCCACCGTGCACAGGCGTGTGCAGGAGATGGGCTACAGGTGCCGCATTCCCCAGGTCAAGCCACTTTTGAACCAGAAACAGCGGCAGAAGCGCCTGACCTGGGCTACAGAGAAGCAGCACTGGACTGTTGCTCAGTTTCGCATGTCATTCGGAAATCAAGGTGCCAGAGTCTGGAGGAAGACTGGGGAGAAGGAAATGCCAAAATGCCTGAAGTCCAGTGTCAAGTACCCACAGTCAGTGATGGTCTGGGGTGCCATGTCAGCTGCTGGTGTTGGTGGACTGTGTTTTAGGGCAGGGTCAATGCAGCTAGCTATCAGGAGATTTTGGAGCACTTCATGCTTCCATCTGCTGAAAAACTTTATGGAGATGAAGATTTCATTTTTCAGCACGACCTGGCACCTGCTCACAGTGCCAAAACCACTGGTAAATGGTTTACTGACCATGGTATTACTGTGCTCAATTGGCCTGCCAACTCTCCTGACCTGAACCCCATAGAGAATCTGTGGGATATTGTGAAGAGAAAGTTGAGAGACGCAAGACCCAACACTCTGGATGAGCTTAAGGCCCCTATCGAAGCATCCTGGGCCTCCATAACACCTCAGCAGTGCCACAGGCTGATTGCCTCCATGCCACGCCGCATTGAAGCAGTCATTTCTGCAAAAGGATTCCCGACCAAGTATTGACTATTGAGTGCATAACTGAACATAATTATTTGAAGGTTGACTTTTTTTTTTGTATTAAAAACACTTCTTTTATTGGTCGGATGAAATATGCTAATTTTTTTAGACAGGAATTTTGGGTTTTCATGAGCTGTATGCCAAAATCATCAGTATTAAAACAATAAAAGACCTGAAATATTTCAGTTGGTGTGCAATGAATCTAAAATATATGAAAGTTTAATTTTTATCATTACATTATGGAAAATAATGAACTTTATCACAATATGCTAATTTTTTTAGAAGGACCTGTATATATATATATATATATATATATATATATAGACCTATAAAAACTAAAACGAATAAAAAATTACTGAAAATGAAACTGAAAAATATAAAAAGAACTGATCATAATATTTATAAAACTATAATATCTCAATGATATTAAAATGACACTGCTGCTGGATATTGGGATTACTGGGAACAAATAGAGGTTGCATTAAATTATTGGATTATAAAAGCAGTAAAATATTCTGTATATTCAGAAATGTCCATTATTTATTTATTTGTTATTATGGAAATTAAGCCCTTACTAATTCCCATTAAAGAGCTGAAAGCTTGTGTCACTGTAAAAACACAAGATGTTTTTATTACCAAGACTCTATAGTCAAATGTAGAGAGCAAGAGTGGAAGATAAAATCAGTACAAACAACTGTTTAAATACAATGAGAATTTTATTAAAACGGTGCAAAAATAAAATAAAAATAAAATAAAACTAACATAAAAATCAGATGTTCTTTCCACCTAGATTGCACTGTCACACAGCCTGGGGTCACCTCTCAAACACAGAGAAAGGTAAAACGGCTGCAAACAAACACAAATCGCCCAATTAGCCAGAAGTAATGCACAAATATGATTAGATAAATTGCATCTGCCAGTTCTGTACATGCAACAGTTTCAGTCTCATGCAAATTCGAGAATGCTGATGACTGTAGCTCTGTCACATCCATGAAAACATACCATATAAAAATAGTAAGTAAGCTACGTCATAACAAAACAAAGCCCACTGTATTAAATAAGAGAATTTAGTGTTTGAAAACTGATGGTGGACGCCACCAACACCATCATTAAAAAATGTACTCAAAATGTGATTAAGTAGCATAATTCGCTTTTAAAATAGAAATTAGGAAACTTCAGGAGGCCCGTCTGTTTGACAACTAGCCATGTAAGAAAGAACATCCTAGTTTCAGAACTAAACATCCAAGTCTTTTGAAAAAATATTACTACAAATATATATTTTCAAATCATACCTCGTCAGATCACACTGATGGAGAAATTAGTTTGTTCACAAGAAACTCTCCGATTTAAGAGGCTTCTCTTGTCAGACAGCGCCGTACGCACCAGAATACTGACTCCACCATCAATTCAGCTGACTTCAACTCAGGGAACGGTCCTACAGCATACATTCGTATCTTTAAAAAACACTGGAAAACTGCTTTCGATTTACAAAAATAACTTGAACGCATTTATACATTTTTTTCATTTCTTAATACAAAAATGTTTGCACTCTTATTGAAGTCCAACGCTCGGGGTGGCTGAATGACCTTTCCATTTGTTAAATAAATGGATCCGTTAAACGCAAACTACGAGTACATCGGAAGGAGAACATAAACTCCAACGGAGAGTAGCTGTCATTTCACTGACAATTTCCTCTGGTTTGTGCCTTGAAGCTGCAATATGTTTGCAAAAGCACAGTTTACCAGACGCACACACACACACACACACACACACACACACACGATGAATTCCTTTTTGCGACTTAGCAGAGTGGAAATCTGGGTAAATGGTGCCTTACATAAGACCAAAAAAAGTTCATTGCTTGCATTTTATATTCAAATGTGCCTGACAAAACGAAACAAACAAACAAACAAACATAAAAAGCAGCAGCAGCAGCAGCAGTGTACTCTTTGTCCCTTATTTACACTGAAAAACTGAGCCAGTCTCAAAAGGTCACTAGGGAGGCATTGATGTAGAAATAGGGGTGATGATGAAAAAGAAACCTAAACAAGTGTGCCATCTATTGGTTATGCGAGTGAATAACGTGTCAAAAATATCTCGCTTTCATTTGGGGAGAAAAAAAAAAAAGAAACCATTAACCCTCCATCTTGCTGGACAGTAATAGGAAATTTAGTGCTTTAAAAGTGAATGTCGAATAAGATGAATCTAAGCTTTGAAAACACGGGAGATACCATATAACGAGGTATGTTGAAAGTGTTAGGATACTAGCCTGACATATTTTTAATTGTGCAAATCAGTAATGCAAATGTGGGAACATTGGAGATGCAACGTGGCCTTGAGCTGACACAGTTATACAAATATTTGCATACGACTGATTACGTTTGTATTGAGTGTTTCGGAAGCAGAGGGGGGTTCGCTACGACACCAGCTCTTCATCTGCAGTACACGAACACTTACCCATGATCACAGCAGCAACATCCTCTTATGGTGCTAAGAGCCCATTTCACAGGAGCAATGAGAGGGTAAAGGGATAGATCAGCCCAAAATAAAGAATCTGTCATAACTTACTCCCTCTCATGTCGTTCTGAACCTGTATGACTTTCTTTCTGCAGTCAAACACAAAATGAGATGTTTAGCAGAATGTCCAGACTGCTCTTTTCCATATAATGAAATTGAACGGGGCGCTCGGCAAAATGGTGTAACTAAACATTTAGTTAAAATGGAGCAAAAACTGATCTTCCCTACTATGATCTAACATACATGATGGGCAGACGGGTTTGGCTACGGGAATCTACACTCGGATTCGGAGAAAACGGAGTACGTTTGCAGTCCAACGTAGCTCTCAAAATCTCATTCGCACGTCCACATTGGTGTGTTGTGCTTATTTGCAAGACGCCAAGTACCATTTGTCCTCACTAATGTCAAATTTGTCAGTAAATGAGCAGAGGGCAACACTTAGTGTAAATAATAACTTATGGTCTATGAAATATACTGTATGCTTCACATTTACTTTCATTGTATGGAAAATGGACATTTTCATTTTCTATTTCCCAGTCATACGGGTTTTGAACTGCATGCAAGAGAGAGTAAATGACAGCATTTTCCATTTCTGGCTGACTCGTACAACTGGCTTTATCAGAGGCTGTACTTTCTGCTAACAGTGTAAAAGGATTTTGAAAGCGTTTGTCACAAAATCTCGACTCAAGGTGCATCGTATAGTTTAGAGAGATCTGCTAGCATCCCTCTACGTCCACAAACATTGAAACCACTAGAATCAGCACTGTGAATCCAAAACCAAACAAAAGTAGAAATTCAGTTCAACAATCCTCATGGGAGGACTGAACTAAGACTGAAAAGGCAACTAGGAAACAAGTGAGTTTGCGCACAACACAGTGGCACCTACAGCCGAACCCTGACCTCCGCAGTCCACGCAAGTGGAACCGCAAGCTCTGCCTCCAGAACGGAGCAAACCGCCAGACTAGAAGCACAGCAACATAACAGTCTATTCATCTAAAACCCACATGCACAACCTCTGGACATGAGAAAAGTGCTTGATTTGGTGCAGCAACTACTCTGGGGGCGATACTGCGTCTATCAATTATCTTGTGTCCAGTGAATTTGATGGAAGCTGATGCGTTAACCCCAATATCATAAAGGAACACCATTTTATTTGGTGCAGCAGTAACATTTGAAGAGGTCAGAAATTGTTTTCAACATCCACCCCCTTTGACCAGCAAGTACCTAGAACTATTATATCAATATTACCAACATAATACTTGAATACTACCACATGATGTACCATTTCCAAAAAAAATACGTCCGATTTCTTTCCTTGAGAAAGGGATTTCTTTGCGCTAATTTGAAAGGATTTGCACTTTTAAATGTTCTAGAAACACTTAATAGAACGGAAATGACTGCAATTTTTAATCGGGGCATATAAAGACCTAAAACGAACCCTTTGTCAGCTCCATAAGTTAAACATCTTAGAAGCGAGAAAGCACCATAATAGCTCATTTAAGCCAACTAAGTATGGCTTCAAAATGGGTGCAAGTTAAAGTATTGTAGCTTTACAGTAAAACGGGCCAATGTGGATAACACTCGAAGCTAACAGAGTGTTGTTGCCTTACGCTCGCAATATGGCAAGTCTGATTTTGATTGCAGCTGATATAAATGGATTAATTGTAGCTAATATAAATACGCATTTTCTGGTTGTGCTTAATGTGTATTTTGGGGTACGCAGCATGTTCATGTGATGCACATAGCATGTTGTGTTCAAATGTCCCGTGTTCTACATTCTCACCACAAGGAGGAGACAAGGAGACAGGTTAGAGGATGACCACGTCAAGCAAATGTGTGAGGAGCTTAAAGCTCCTGCCTATGAGCCACAGCAAATGTAACACAACAGCAGTCCCATTTCCGCAATGCCCATTCACTGTGGACACAGAGTCTCAGTAACCTGGTTCAGAAAGGCCGATCTTATGTCTTAAAGCAAGATCCACACAAACAGGATATGATGTGGCTCACATGGTGGGCTCCGATGAGTCCTATATGAGAGAAACGGGACAGAGATTGTCCGTTCAAAACCTGTGGATGGCCGGCTCTGTTTCCCGTCTCTTCAACTCCTCTCTGTAGCAGTACGAGCAGTAATTGCCCGTCTCGGGGTGGCCGTAGTAATTGCAGGTAGGCGTTCGGCATCTGCTGGACTGCAGGTTTGCAAGGCCACCCGCACTGCCCAAGGAGTAATGCCTCACAGGCATCGGCCCATTGCGAACGTCCAAAGTAGTGCGCAAGTCCCGCAAGCCATTTGTATAGCCTCCGGTAGGTTCGGTTGGGTAGTCAGTTGGGTCATGCTCCTGGGAAAAAGATGCCAGGCAGGGGGTGATGATACGGGATGGGCTACCCAAGCTGGTGGAAGGTGGGTGGTACTGGGAATGGGGAGGGCCCTGTGCTAGGGGGCAGTGTCGGGGCAAGGTAGCATAGGATGGTAGGCCTGGGTAAGAAGACGGCGAACCTCCTGCCAGCTGCCGTCGTGTATCCATGTAACCGTGCACATGTAGATGCTGTGTAATTGGGGTAGGAGAATGGTCAATGAAGGTGGGCCTTGGGATTGGGACCACACCCGAGTACATCATCGGACTGAAAGAAGTCGACTTCAATGCGTTAAAAGTAGGAGGTGAGTTATCAGTAATTTCCTCTCTGCTTTCAAAACCTCGGTAACTCAGCTCAGGCCCGTCCTTTTTCAGTTGAGATCCACTAGTTGTTGCAAGACCTCCTGCTGCTTTCCGTTCAGCTTCCCTCCGCTGTTCCTGTTCGGCACGGAAGCGCTCCTCGGCATCCATCAAGTATCGTTGGATCATCTCCTCCTGGAACGGCTGACGGTTGCTAGTAGTGAGCACAGCAGCGAAGATGTACTTCCTTTCTCCTTGCATTGCGGATCGGAGGATGCTAAGACTCACTTTCACATCCGAGCTGTACTTAAAAGGGTCACTTTCTGAAGAGTAGCTTCCGTTTTGCCGTTCACTTATTGAGGAGGGTGAACCTTTCCCAGAGTCCTCAGAGCCGGTTTGAATGGAAGGAGAGCTGTCCTTACTGCCCTTACGACCTCTCAGAGAGCCTTTCTTCTTCTCCAGACCCTCTTGTTTGCCTCCACTTCCACTTGCGTTCTTCCCCGTCATCAGGCCTCCCACATTCTTCTTCAGCTTACTGCCCAGGCTCTTGCCAAAGCTACCCAGCTTGTTGGCAACGGAATCAGCACGTTTCTTGTCCTTATCCTTTTCTTTGTCTTTCTTCCCCTTCTCCTTTCCAATTGTGCCAGTCGTCCCTGCTGAACTGTTACTGGATGAGCTAGAGGAGCTGGAAGATCCACCACTTGTTTTGCCTGTTGTCCCACTGGTTCCAGTAGTACTGCTGTCCCCATTGCCATTGGAACTGCTGCTGACGGACTCCTTATCTGACTCTCCAGAGTCTGGCGGGGTGCGGGCATCCTCTCCTGCAGACGCTGTAGGGGACTCTGGCTGGGCCAATGGGGCCTGCTGTGGATACAAACACAAAATATTGTCACTAGATGATTTAGCTGGAATACAAATAACGAGCACAGTACAAAATCTGAATGACAACTTCAAAGATGACTTTTCAATCAATGGTTTTCAACAGTTTTGACCTGAAGGCCCCCTATTGACTAACACAATATTTGAAGACCCCCTATGTGCGTGTGTGTGTGTGTGTCTGTGTGTGTGAGAGAATCTATTAATTTCAAGTTTAAAATAAACATAAAAACAAATATTTATTGAAGGAAAAATTAATTTCCGTTTACATTTTGCTTCCATGTTTGTAATGACTTTTTAACTTGTATATAATAAATACATTTATTAAAAATATATTCATATTTATCAAATATATTACATTTGTAAAAAGTATACATTTAATACAAAACAATAGTAAAATAATACATGTATAAAAAGTATTAAAATCAGGAAAAATCCTTTTCAAATAATTTGGTATGCATGCACAATTTGCAATTTCTTTTAGAACAAAGAATTAGGAAGTATCACTGTCATTACATAATGAAGTTTTTGATATTTGGATATGGGAAGTGATAGGGAAACACTATGCCAGTTTAATAATAAAAAATGCTTTGGATGCACTGTTGTCAGAGCAGTGTTTCCCCTACCATTGTTTTGGGGGGGCGGCCCGCCCCAATGGCTGACGAAATCCAGTCATAAAAAAGGAATTAAGTGTATAACGCGGAATTTCACGGAATTTGTAAATTTGAGGAAAAAATAGAAAGCAGTTCAGTACACTTGAAAACAAATCGCGATGTAGACTAGTGTGTGTGAATATTAAAACACAAAGACTATTTAAATATGAATCCTGTATGTTCTGAATGAATGGTGCCGCCGACGCGCAGTTTCATTTACCACACACATACACTGAAGCACGTATGACGCTTGCGCTGTTTTTTGGCCTATATGAAGACACAAATGCATGAACTTCCTCTCCAGGCTCTAGATCCACTCTGAAAGTCACTTCGTGATCATTTCACCGCTTCATTTGAGAAAAACTATCATCATGACATAAACAAACAGAAACTCAAAAGGTCTTCACGGCAACCCGTCAAAATAAAAGTTCGGTTTAACTTGACAGAAATATATTACTGTTGTACATTAGAATTTAGATATGTCCCAATGTAATAATACACTAACACTAATCCAAATAAATTATCATCAAAACTGAAATTTTTAAGGAATAATCCATGTTTTAATTTTAACAGCTCATTGTGCAGCAAGTTATTTGACAAAAAGTTTATTTAATTTATATGATTAAAATTGATGATAAATGATACAATTTGTGTTTTATGTCTTCATTTTATTACCAGAAAAAACACAACACAGAATTAGCGTGAATTTTTTTCCCCATATATTTAAAAAAAAATGTATAAGTTTAATGATTCATAATACATTATTTCAATTAATTAGACATGCTTTTTCTTTATTGCAAAAAAAAATTACACCACATATCCGTAACACGCCCGCTCCGCAACACTAGCAGTCCCCCCCCCCCCCCCCCCCCTGAAAAAAAATCCTAGGGGAAACACTGCAGAGTAAAGAGTTAAACTAAAACCAGTTAAATTATTAGCACGGGAAAGCAAGCTAGAAGCTCACCTGTACCTCACAGGGTAGAGGAAGCCAGGTGACAGTCATGTAGCAGTGCAGCAGATGGAGCTTGGCCTCCAGAGATAAGGTTACACTGAAACCAAACAATAGGCAGGTCAGAGTGCAGATATTCACTTATAAGTGCTATTCAAACTGCCTTTGACGATAGCAAACATAAAGTAAACGAATGTGCATGTTTCATGAAAAATGCATAAATAACATTAGCAAAAGTAAAAAAAAACAACAAGTATTTAAAGAGATATTTAAGTGAAATATTTTAAAATAGCATATCAAATATTGACAAATGTTAAAACTGTGGAAATAAGAGGGAACTACAGATGCAACCCTGAGCTATTTGAGTGCCTCTCTGTGTTCCATTCATAGCAAGAATTTAGCGATAATCTGCATTAAAGAACAAGAATTGCTAATCTTGAGTGTTGGCCAACACCAACAGCGCTCAGTTCCAACAGGCTCCACAGTGCTAATGCCTTCTTTACAGTCAGGCATTACTGAACTCTGCTGTAAATAAGTCAGAGCTGAGTCATTTGGCACTACATGGTCAAAATAACTTGAATACTTAAAAAACATTTTTCTGGGCAAATTTGGTATATGCACAACACACAGCAATTACAAGAATGTTCCAGGTTTAAAACGAATCAAAATCTATGGATGGCATTTAGAACATGCTGTTGATTACCAAAGGGAATAATTTCAACTTCCCTCAGAGTTTATAAACACATAAATAGCATGGATAAATTATAAATTCTTTGACAAAAAAATGCGGATGTCTCGCTTCAAACTTGACATGCAGGTTTTTTTACTGTAAACATTTTATGTTTGTTTTTTCCAAACGTAGTCTAAATTATATTGTCTGTGGTAACTGACAGCATATCAGAAACGTTGTCCATTGAGTGTAACTACATGCATGAGCAGCAGTTTTCTAATCAACGTATAATGTGATGTCTACCTTGCTAGCATCACATTGTCATTGTCATCTTTGCCCCATTCCCAGTCTTCCCCAGGATCCACAGCAAAGTGCAAAGGCAGCATCTTATGATCTGAGTCCGTCAGAGGGATCACCACTGTGAAAGTTAACAAACAAATGGTCAGTGCCTTTCTGAATTACCGTACACTATTTCACTACTTATTTATACTTTAGCTTATTTACAAACACAATGTAGTATTCAACTGAATTCTTAAGACTACAGCCATAAAGACCTTTGAAAAAACAAGCTGCATAAAGCGGATAAAGACTTTCTGGCAAGCATAAATTATTGCAGTTTTTTGTTCCATCCTGGTTGGCAAAACTGGTTTATCAGGCAAGAACAGCACACAGCATGCAACATAAAAAAGCAAACAGATTTGCTACATATAAACCATTCCTCACCTTGTTCTTTGGAACAGTCCTTCTGCTCCATTGAGACCAGGGCAGAGAAATGAGCCTGGTCATATGCCAAAACGAGAGGAGAGCGGTGACACTTGTTGGCTGGTACTTCCAGAGGCAGGTAAATCCCTCCAAATGGGATTGGTGCAAAAGCTAAACAGGTGACAAAAAAAGAGAGAGATATCTGAGACAAACTCTTGAGATATGCTTTGTTAATGGAACATGGAAGGACAAATGGAAAATTCATTATTTAAATGGGACACTTATGCCATTTTATTTTTCTCCCTTAAAGTCAGCTTATATTATGTCATAATTTAGTTTTACACAACCATTTTGAAATTCTGCTACAGTCATATGCTAATTAAGGATGTGACTGAATGTTCATGGGTGGGCAAGTGATGTAACCGGTGTTGCAGCTAAACACCGGTAACACTGGTAACACCGACTATCGCAGCAAGCCTAATGCTAACGTGCTCATGGTTACATTATGATCATGAAGATTTGTGATGGAGCCATTTTTCCAGCTTAGCTTCAATAGACAAGGGAGGGAGTTTTGCATTGTGAATGTTAAAGTATTTCAAAGTGCGTCAAACTACCCTCATTAAAGGAATCGTTCACCCAAAATTTAATATTCTGTCTTTATTTACCTTCTCCCCCAGAGTCCCGTAGCATGGTGTCAGCCACCACCACTATCGGCCTGCGGAGCACGTGAGCAAGAACAAACACATGAAACTCCTCCAGGCTCTCATATACCGGCTCCTCTTGTGACTCGGCACTGCGGGACACAAAACACACTCACAGCATGAGCACAGCACTCCAGAAAACCAGTTTACAACTTTCAATCTAGAAAATAAAATCAATGAAATCAACACACCCGTTGCTGCCGTTGGTGCTGTAGTGTATCCTGGGTTCACTAGATGCCAGTTTCAACAACTCATTCCACTCTCTCTGCCACTCTTCTTCTGTGTAAACCAGTCCCGACTGCACACAAAATCACAAACATAAACATAATTAGGCTGAAATTTTCCTAATTACACTATCATTCAAAAGTTTGGGGTCGGTAAGACTTTTTAATGTTTTTGATAGAAATCTCTTATGCTCACCAGGACTACATTTATATAATCAAATATAGTCAAAACTAAAACAGTAATATTACCTTTCATGCAGTGTTTAATATAACTGTTTGTGAATGTAAAAGGTTTGCGAAGTTTTATAGATCAAAGTGCATGACAAATACATTTATTGTCTTCCAAAAGAAATAATAATTTTGAACTGCTGAAATGAGTCGTCGGCAATTCCAATCTCACTTCCTGAATTTAAAAATTAGCATATTGCCAGCCTATGATCTGCATTGTCTGCCCGCGAACGTCTACTTTGAACCGCCAACAAACACTGGCTATAGCTGAGGCCTGGAAGAGTTTAGTTTGTGTTGTCGAGATGTTGAGATGACGCCGTTTTCTGCACTGCGAGTCCACTTTAAATGCACTTCAAAAGGAGGAGGACTCGGGCTCGAATTGATATGGTAAAACCGACGCCATTGTTATGGTTCGTATTACTGTGTATCAAGTACTGAGGAAGACTCCAGAGATGAAATTCAGATATGGTAATGGACGTTTTGTTTCTGACACGCACTGTAAACGGTAGACCAATCACGACAGACTGGGCCATCTGACCAATCGGAGCAGAGTAAGCTCTTGAAAAGCAGCGGTTTAGAGACAGAATCTTCAAACGAATCGTTTTCAGACTCTTGAGAAGAAATGAGGAGATATGCAAAGTATATTAGGAGTAAATGAAAGTGTTTTTTGACCTTTGATGCATGCAAACCTATTGTAGGAGACTCCAAAAACAAAATTAGCATAATAGGGGCACTAAATGTTTTCTATTTAAAATATAATTTATTGTGGTGATGGTAACTTTATTACTTCATTATATTCATTACTTCATTATTACTCCAAAATTCTCTATAAATTATTCTATAAATCCAGAATGATTCTTCAGAAACCATTCTAATATATTGCTCAAGAAACATTTCTTATTATCAATGTTGAAAACTTAATATTGCTTAATAATAATACTTAATATTTTTGTGGAAACCGTGATACTTTTTTGCAGGATTCTTTAAAGAGTAGAAAGTTCAAACAAAATATTTATTTAAAATAGAAATCTTTACTGTCACTTTTTATCAACTTCCTTGCTGAATAAAAGTATTAATTTCTTTAAAGAACCTTTTGAATGGTAGTGTATTTTAATTAAGAAGCCTGATACCAAATTGATTAGTGTTATCTGTTGCAATCTTTTTTACAAAATAATGAACCAAAAGTGCTCTAACCTCTTTGTTCTGCATGGTTTGTTGCCATCTCCACCTTCGCTTTAAAGCTTCCCTCTCCTGCCCATGATCCATCAGTGCATAGAGAGACTTCCGCAGCATCAAGTCTCGATCATGGAAGCCCCACATACCTGCATTATAATGTTCAATGTTTTAAGCATAATTACCAAGATTTCATCTGGCAGTGGTGGTAGCCTGTAAACTTTGAGCTAAATGTAACACCAACAGAAAGCTTGAATTAATCCATATAAAACTGTATAAAAACTTGCAGATCAGAAGTCAGTTTGAACACTTACCCAGTGAGGCTGCGTGTAACAGGCAGTTCCCATCACCACTAGTAGCCAGAGGTAATAAACTCTGACATCCAGTGCCTAAACGAGTCCACCAGTTCAATCGTCCTGTTGAAAAACAAATCTCTGAAATATTTTTGGCTATAGACACTGACATTTCTTAAAAATCTTTCTATGGCTGTATCCGAAATCGCATACTTCCCTACTATAAAAAAATAAAAAATAAACAAAGTTGCATGTCCAAATTATTCATAAAACAGTAGGCAAAAAGTACCTGGATGACCTACTATTTCCGGCAAGTGCACATCCAATGGGATTGGCAGTGAAATGACGCAACTGACACTGGTAGTTCACATGACAATGACAACATGACGAATGTAGTATGTCCAGATTACATTCATACTACACACATCCTTACTAAATTGAACATACTTTAACAGTCACATAGTAATTACTTATTCAAAAGTAGTTCCAACACCAAGAGTATGCAATTTCAGATGCAGCCTAGGTCTCTGTTCCAAAACCCAGTTAGCTGCCTATGTAGGCAATACTGGAAGGGCGATGGTGAACCAAGTGAAATATCAATCATAAATATACTTATGATTAGATTCATAATTCATCCAAAACTATCAATAAAAATTGTTAAACCTAATAAAAAAAAGACTATTTTCCTATTATTTGTGTGTGCTGTGTATCTTTGTGCTTATTATAGTATCATGCTAATGGAAAACTCCTGTGTGCGTCACATGAGGACCAGTATATGCATGACATGGCGTTTCTGCCTATGTAGGGCATTTCAAATCAGTAACTTATGAGGTTACAGTTTAGTCAGGATGCTTATATAGACAGAAGAGAATAATGCAGCTAACAGAAATGTCATGTTAGAAATATCTGGCTATAAAACTACTATAATAATAATAGTTATAATATAAAAATATTTGGTTTGTCTGTCAGAGGAGAGATTCTTGAAATAAAATGACTAACCCGCATGCTCCAATGCCACCATCATAGACTGCTCAATGAGGTCTCTTTCGATGAAGCCACGGAAGTCGTCTCTGTAGACGGTGAGGTCAGGCAACTGGAAGGTGCAGAGCGGAGTGTCCAGAAGCGGCTCGTTGCTGCCGCCCGTACTCGACACGTGCGAGCGAGCCAGAGAGACGATGGTGGAGCTGGCGTGAGAGATCCCCCTCGACAGTCGCTTCTCCGTGGCTGCTGCCATGATACATGTTCAGATTACTGCGTATACTGGAGAATATGAAACTAGACACTGGTAACCTATTATCTGGCCGACCTATTCTTATCACTCCTTTCAATTCGAAAAACAATGTTAGTCAGGTGAGAGTGGGCAAGGCTTTGAAATTACATCATATGCAACTAGTGTCATGATCAGCGTAAATCATTTACATAAATTATGAAACACCATTTGAGAATTGAGGTCAGGCCATGCAGAGGCGATCAAGTGCTTTTCGTACCTTGCACAACCTCATCTTGGCGATGCAAAAGGGACCGCCCCGTTCGTGCCATCTCTTTCTCAATGGAGGGGTACTCTCTCTCCTCAGCAAGGGTGCATGAGAGGTTCCCAGCATGCACTTGTCTCAGCTGCTCAAAGTCACTCAGCGCAGCTGAGAGGTCCCAATTCTTTCCTGTGAGGAGAGTCACAATCATGAAGTGTTCAAGTAAATAAGAGGTCATAGTTCCACCGCACTTCTGCTTAGGACTTTAAATATTAACCCAACATTGTTAGGTGCAGCAGGGTTCAATGACACATTTCTCTGCAGTAGCTTTTGTAAATATTGGTCTGTACTGACTATAAAGCGCGCATACTGCAGAACTATGTATATTTTAACTCATTCTCTTATCTGCCGTGTTGCTAGGCAACATGCGCTGGGTTTGTTAAAGTTTTGTTGCACATATGCATATAGACGCTTCAGCCCGTTTTTTTCTCCCTCCTGTAGTCAGTTAATCATAAAGACCTTAGTCAGGATAGATGCCATATTGAATTCTACATGGCTCACTCAAATAGAATTCATCAGTGTCGTAACTATCTGTTTTATAATAAAGTTGAGTCTTGTTTTTAATTCAAGTGTTACATAATGTGAATATTTCAGCTTGCATCAATCAAGTTTCATAAAAAAGGAACACAATAAGAGACCACTTGCCATTTAAATTAATTGGATTATCAAAAAAATTACATTACTGCATGGTTATGTAATATTTAAACAATTTGGGTTGGTTTGTTTTTGTGTTATAGTTAAAGTAATGTAACAGTACTCATACAACAGTATAAGATTTTGGTCATGCCACCCATCATCTCTACCAAAAGACTGGCTTCTTATTGGAGCAAAATGAATGAATCAAAGCTGAAGAGGGGGTAATGGGAAACGGGATGGTTTAGGCTCACCCTCCAGCAGGTCTCTGGCCAGTCCTGGTTCAGCTCCAGTAGAACGGACAAAGTCGGACAGGACCGCGTCCATATCCAAAGTCATGTGATCATGAATTTACAGTGTAGAAGGGGGCATCAGGAGAGAGAAAAGACATGAGAGCAATTCTCCCTCACAGCAAAAGCACCATTACGGCCACACCTATAGAGCAAGAGGGGGAAACAGATAGAGGCGATCCTTAGTGAGGCCATGCTCAAGCTTAAGCTCGGTGCATCATATTGGTGCACATTACCAGAGATCTGTTGACTCCAGCAGTCACATGCCATTCCTGTGACCTCTGCTGTGTAGCCCAGCTGAACGCTTCAGTTTGCATTACAGAGAATTTGCAACTCATTAGAAAGGTGGCTAGTATGATACAGCTGTTTTAGGTGCATGTATAATAATAATAATAATAAGAAGAAGAAGAAGAAGAAATGCTTCTTGAGCACCAAATCACTTATCGGCCGATCATCACATTTTATGACTCGATCGGTACTCACTCAACTTGGCCGATCTCACAAACCGATCACAATTTGATGACGTCAAAACGTGAGGAGGTAGCCTATATGATGCGTGGGGACTTAAATGATTTGGCAGTCATGTCATCGCCGGTGTGGAATTAGGCTGCTATGTGTCGAGAAACAATGAAATTTTTTTGCTATTTGCCGTGTATGTTTCAAAGGAATCTCACATGGAGGATCATTGTCCTCCAGAGAGAGCGCCTTTTTGAAGAGTATGCTTCGCTCGCTCAGTCCACAGCGCCACTCGCTCAGAACGCCCGCAGTGACATGCTGGTTAGAAAATATGTTAAAGGTGCCCTAGAAGGTTTTTTTTTATTATTTTATAATGTTTCCTGGGTTACCCTTATAATGTTAGTATGTTTTTTAGATAAAAAATATTCATAATTTAGAAATAAATGGCATTTTTCCTAGCCTGCTTTTAGCCTCTGAACACTCTGTTTGAAGGGGCGTGTCTGCTGTGGGATTCAGTGTAACCGCGGCCACTGCTGTGATTGGCTGACATGCTTGCATATGAAATAGCTACGCATTACATGTGAAACTCTCTCCCGAATACTTTTACTACTGCTATTATACGTTTTTACTATAACAGCTATCGAGATTAACGAATCGTGAGATGTTTTTAAAGTATTTCAATCTATTCCCATCACATAAAATGTTGCCATGGTGAGCATTGAGCAGATGACAGTGTGTTGATCGCGAGAATGAAGATCTTATCATTGCAAAGCAGTTTCTGCACTCTCTCTGCTTTCACCAATGCAAACACGATGATGTAAATACAGTAAGAGCTTCGTTGTGCAGTAACGTGCATCATTGATTTCATAACGAGTTTGGCAAGTGTCCAGATAAACTCGCGCTGTGTGGAAAGATTGTTCTTTGATCGCTTTCTGTATATAATTTGTTCACAATTTAAATACGATTATTTTCATCCTACTAATAGAAACGATGTGAAGCTGATATTTTAGTCACTGGCTTGACTTACTGATGCATAAACAGTATTGAACGATTTTGAGAGAAAGATTACCTGTCTGAACTTGAACAATTACACATCAGAAAGTGTTGCTTGGTAGCTCGATCCGAGGCCAGCTCTGTATTGGCCCAAGTTGAGGAAACACTCGGTGAAATGTTTGGAAATTTCCAGAGAAAATAAAATTAACCCATTGTTTCTTCAGAGGCTCAGATGAAGGAACTAAAAAATACTTTTGTGTTCATGTGTACATCCACACTGAGCAACTGCCATGCTTCGGCTGCGCAGTTCCGCCTGGCATTGAGGGCTGGCATTATGCAAATATTTGGAGGCGTACATATTAATGATCCCGACTAATGCGTCACAGTCGGTATTGTGTGGAGAACCGACCGTTTTTCAGGGGTGTTTTTCATAAACGTGAATTAAATGAGAACGCGAAAACAGTCCAGTTTGAGATTCACTCTATGTCATGTCCATGCACTGAACTCTTGTTATTTGACTATACCAAGGTAAATTAAATTTTGAATTATAGGTCACCTTTAAATAAGTTGGGCTGCCCGTGCACGACTAAAGTTTTTTTAAGCCATTAGTCTAATCGCATATCATATTAATTTAATTAAATATATATGGGAGAAAATACTAAACCATAATGAGTGTCATCATAATAGGCTATATTGCCTATATTCCGCATATCAAGCGCATGCATAAAGCTTGCCACAAAGAACCGGCAAAAGTAATGTTTATGCAGCATGATATATTTTAATTATTTATTAATAAACTGCAAAGATACAGTTGGCGATGTTGACGCCATCTTCGCATAGTGAACGCGCTTATAGAGAGAAATGCACACTTCATACGGATTAGCCTACATAAGCAGAGAGTAGCCCATTTATTATCGATTTAAATATTTTTTTTTTTTAAAGTAGACATTTCAAGCCTGAACTATACATTCTCACGTATGTGAGGCAAGTTGAGGTTCGGTTCACTTATGAGATGCGCTCCAGTTCACACGCCGGCATGTCCGTGTCCTGATTATATTGTCTGCTATATTTCGCTTATTATTTATTAAATCCAGGCAAATGGTTGATGAAACATAGTTTGAAATTAAGATACAATTTTTACAAAACGAAATTCACTTTAAAGAATGGCTTTCTACAAAACAAAACTTAAGTGGTCAAAATCATGTCTGACCCATTCCAAATGTTTTCCGATATATTGGGCATCTTATGATCCTATCTTACTCATCTCATGCGGTTCCCTTTTAATATAATCAACATATATGACTTTTTTTTTAAAAGAACACTATATTAGCCTACTATAAAACATAAATATGAAACGTATATTTATGTTAAGTTATATTTAAACGTCACACCACTCCGCTTTTCTCATGTGTGTGGCCTATATATGCATGTGTGCGTGCATATGGGGGAGGGGTGCGATTTTCAAATAATAAGCGAATAATACCCAGATCTTCGAATAATATTTTTGCTTGAAATGCCCATCCCTTCTAATGAGTAGCATCAAACTACTCCAATTTGTTCTAATTAAATTAATAATTAATCTAATTAAATTAATTTTGTCCTGCTTAGACTTGTATTAGACCAGGTTTAAGTTACATCAGACTCTCTATTTTAGGTATTTAAATGTTTATTTTGTCCTCCAAAGTTTACTATTGGACAATGTTTAATTAAACCTTGTGGGCTGCATCAGACTGCTCCATTTTGTTTGTATTTATCTTTGTCTTATATTAAGCATCGGTATCGGGATCAGTATCGGCCGATCACCATGACAAGAAATCGGCAATCGGTATCGGCTGCAAAAATCCTGATCGGAGCATCCCTACTGAAGACTAATGATAAGAGTAATGATGCTGAAAATTCAGCTTCGACATCACAGGAATAAATCACATTTTGAAATCTATTAAAAGAGAAAACAGTTATTTAAAATTTGTATAATAATTTAGAATTTTACTGTTCTTACTGTATTTTTGATCGAGATTCATATTCACATCCATTCATATTGTTGAGCCCTAACCAATCAAATTTATACCAATTAGCTTTATACAACTGTTTTTAGTTCTTGATCCTCCTTGACATAGGAGAGGTTCCTACTTGTGAGTTTGCAAGTCATAATTACAAACATGTGCGTTCAAGTGATTTTGGTCAGAATAAGATGTGTTACGCAAGCTCTCTTTTGTACTTTTTCAAAGACCGGAAGCTTTTTTTGGTTCAAAGTGTAACTAAAAAAAAGAGCAAATTTTGTCTGTAATTGATGCTTTCTCTGTGTCAGCACAAGAATGATACATAGATAATGATGGGAAATTTAGTTCCGTCACCGTCACGCAAGTCTGCTGCCTCATAAACTGGCTAAATGAGTAGTATTTTCTAGCAAGCTTTATAGCTATTCCTCATCAACAGTACACAAAACGCAGAGACTAAATTGTACAGTCAATATTCACAATTACAACTTACTATGACAAATAGCAATTTGGGTCAGGGCTTAAAGGTAAACCAATGTTTCTCGCTAAAAAGTATGACACTTGAAGTATCACTGATCATTGAAGTATCATTCATGTGCACTTGTCTCATAAATACATTCATTCCAACATGACTCGAAGGCTGCATAAAATCAAATGCACATAACTGCTCTGAACCTTTACGCCTCAAACTGCACTGCTTAAAGCGTTGTGACACAGAGATGGTCAGCTGAGAAGGCAGCGCAGGAAAGCACTGGAGGAGCTGAACAATGCCACTACACTACCCATTAGGGCTGCACGATATACTGAAATTATTGAAATATCAGCAATACATATCAACACGTCTTAACATTAACGGTGATTCAGATAGCAGAGAATAAACTGGGTTACAGAGCTCCACTCACATTGTTTTCCATTCAACTACATTATATTTGTCACAGAATTTAGTAACTTAAAAATAAAAAAAAATTATATATAATTATAATATAATGAATAAATTAAAAATCTGAACACCAATTAACAAGAGAGTAAACTTTTGTCATTACATTAATTCAGTTCACAGACAATGAGCAGAGAGCTTAGATATAACAAGTTATGACAGCTACGTATAAACGCTAAAAACAAAAACATCATCAGGAAATCAAGTTGACATTAAAATCACTAATTGGCTTTGGTTATAAAAATCCTGTTTCGAACATCTGTAGCATTTTAGTTATGTAATTTGGAGCTTTTAAATACGTTTAAATATTCCCACATGTGAGAGAGAAAAAAAAAAGAAAAGAAAAAAATCACATTATTTAAAACGTTTTTTTTTTTTTAAGGCCTTGTCCACACGGACATGGGTATTTTTATAACCGTGACATTATTTTACGCGGTTCGGCCACACGGAAACGCAGTATCAGGACACTGAAACCGAACATTTTTGAAAACCCCTGCCAGGGTGAGGATTTTCAGAAACGCCGGTTACAGTGTTGTCGTGTAGACAGTAAAACCGGGGGTTTTGCCGTGACGTCAGAGTGTGCGCCCCGCGCTGCGCCGTTATCCGCCTACCGGAACCTGTAATAACTTTTTGTTAGGCTTCTGATTGGCCAACGTGGGTTTACGGTTAGGGTTATATCGCCGCCTGCTGGTGTGGCATGCTCTTGACAGCGCTTGATAGCGTGTTTTTGCGTTTTCATGTGGACGGGATTTTTTTTTTTAAACGGAGGAAAAACTCCGGTTATAAAAATACCCGTGTCCATGTGGACAAGGCCTAAGTCTTGAATATTGTGCAGTCACACTAGCCACGCCTCATTCAGGCAGAGTTATGGAGAATTTTAAATGACTGTTGAAACAAGATTAGACGGCAAAGCTTTATGGATGACAGATCAAATAAAAGTGGCATTTACATCTTCCTCAACAGGACAATGAAAATGTAAAAACTCAAAGGGTGTTAAATAATGATTCGTTGCCGCTGATCATACTTTACGGGTTTGCGAACACAGGCGTCACGTATAGATGATAACATTATGCAGTCAAAAAGTCCCAATGTTTAAATCACCCCTCCCTGATGTAATGGTACATCCTGTCAGCGCTGCCGTCACCTCCCTTAAAGCTCTGACTCAAACTTTTCAATATAATGCCCATGCCATGACTCATGACTCCTTACTGGGCCCTTCCCACCTCTATGACCAACAAAAAGGCAGGCAGCTCGCTGTGCCACTGACGGACATAAAGGGCCTTTTCAGCGAGGAAGCTGCTTTCTCTCTCGCTTTGACTTTGTTTGGCACCTATAGCAGAGTGGCTAGAGAAAGACTAACAGCAAAAACAAGGGAATCGGTTGAATCTGGAACATGCATCCCTATCTGATCATTTCTAGGCATGTAAAAGAACTCCTGCCTAGAGCAGCTAATCAGAATAATCCACTGGGTGGGGATTAGATTAGTGACTCAAAAACAGCTCCTGTCAAGAGTTTAAAGGAAATATGAAGTGCTAAATAAAACATTGAAATGACTCAATAGCATAAAGCTTGCTTCACACTCACCTGACATCTTTCATAACATTAGTTAGAGTGAGTCAGCCTCTTCTAACACACACAAACACAACAGGACAGCAGTTTCAGAGGTCTGGGCCCCCAGGACAAGGTCAACAGCCCATCTCTCAGCAGCAGCCAGGCTCTGAGAACCATCCAGCAAGCAAAATGGTCAGAGATGGATGCTGTGCACAAAAACCTGAAAAACAGAGAGTCAAAGTTAACTTAACATCTCAGATTATTGAGGGAGAAACGACTAACAAAAGGCAACTGGCACAGAGTCAGCTTATAGGCAATTCGGATGAGATCTCAACATCACAAGCGTTGCATCATTATGGCATTCAGGGTTTGCCAGAGACACCTAGGTGATGGATTGTAAACAGAAAGCACCCAACAGATTTTTCTCCATTTGCTAGCCGGGCTTTTGTCTGTTACATAACAAGCGTTGCTGCCAACACGTGGGTGCTTTAAGATAGCAGGATCACTGAAACAGAGACGCACACAAGCAGAGGTCAACAGAGTTGTGTTCGCTCTGTGCACTGTACTGACTATAACCCTCTAACCTATATGGCTGATGACTGTGTACAGGTTAAACTAATAACAAAGATTTGCATCAGTTTATGGAAATAACTCAACTTTTTGTAACCCTTGCTCCCCTATAAAGATGCATCAAGGCTCAACAATAAGGATGACCCCAGGTCAGTGAGAGAGAGTTCTGGGCCAGTTTATGGAACAGTCACTCAGGCCAGTGTTGTCTTGTTTATGTTCAACAGTTCAATGATCACTATGAACAACAGTTCAATGTGTTTTTATGCATCTGGATTACCGTGGCATATTGAGCTGTTCAGTCCTGATGCACGGAACAAGACTTGACATGCCTCTCCTAATTTTCTTGTCTGATATCCTCTATATATCTCATGACATGCATGCAATATAAAAAATATGCCAGTAGAGTAGTGCTTCACATCTTGAACTGGATCTGAGGGTGCTTTCACACTGAGTGTTTGTTATGGACCTGGTGCGTTTTCTCCCTCGGTTCGGTTCTTTTAGGCATATGTGAACACGGCAATCGTGCTCGGATCCGCCCCAAAACAACCGCTCAGCCCGATCGCAAACGAACTCTGGGGGGGTTCACTTGAGGTGTGAAAGCAATCAGACCCAACAGACCAATGAATCAAATGGTGTTATGATTCATAATGGGAAACGTACTACATAAATAGAGGTAGTGTCTGATTCAGTGAGTGAGCACATTAGTTATCACAGTTAAAAAAAACAAAAGAGCACCTCTTCATCTTAAAACATTGTGTAATTGTGCTTCTCTGTGCAAGAATGCTGCCCCGACGAAGCCTTGATTCCTGCTCTAGCTGCATTACAACATTCGTATAGTGTTTGCGTGTGTCTTGAAACTGTTAACCACTAGACAGCGCTGGGAGATCCAGAGAGCGCTTTTGAATTTGCTGCAGTATTAATACAAATGTAGTACATAATTTAACAGCGGGAATGACGGCTACATTCGTATAGTGCTTGCATATCTCGACAGTTACAAATAAAGCCACAATAAGCTTATGGAGCGAACATAGTGCTGGGCAGTAAGACCAAAAATATATATTGCAGTATTTTTCAAAATTATACCGGTTTCATGGTATTTTTATTTTTTTTTCAAGCATGACTGGGTGTTAACCATATTTTCTACTGATTCAGAGAGGAAATACTGCAGTAAAAACGTGCAGTGCTCATGTTTATTCAACGATGTCAAAGCCTTTTGGAAAATCTATTTGTAGCGTTTTTTCTCTCTACAAAATACACATTTAAAGAAAGTTAGAAACTAGAATAATGGCTGTAGGTGCAATGACAAACATAATGCAAAATATACTAAAATATTAAATTGAGAACATAACATTATTTTAAATGAACACTAATTTTTCATAATATTTACTCAAAATTAGGGACGCTCATAATTAACTGGTTAACCGTTAAACGACCATAAGAATTTTGACCGATTAATACTATTGGTTAAATGATTTAAAAAGTCATTTAAAGGGTTAGTTTACCCATAATTTACTCCACCCTTAAGCCATCCTAGGTGTATGTGACTTTCTTCTTTCAGTTAAACACAATCAGAGTTATATTATAAAAATATCCTGGCTCTTTCAAGCTTTATGGGACTATGGGAATGAATAGAAATTGAAACAGAAAACAGCGGGCTCACGTAGCCTACCTCCCTCATTCGGCACAATACGGGACGCTGTTCCCTAAACAGCTTTCTGTGTACGCAATCCAAGATGGAGCAAAACACGGACCAGTATAAGGGCTTTTTGGGTGTGCACTTAAATGGACAAACACACAGAAAATGATGTCAAAATGTCCGTCTTGTTGAGTTTTCACTTAAATGCAGTCAGTTATGTCTTAAGTGAACAAACATTTGGGAAAGTAAACGAGATAATCATTCACTGAATAACTATAGTAACCTTAATAAGAATCAATGTATATTTAATTCAGACGGGGAAACCTATGCAGCAGTGTTTTATTTTTTACATATGATTACTTTATTAGATTTCTGTATAGGCTTATTATTAGTAGTAGGTTTTTATGAACGCAGAGTTTTACAAAGGGCCCCCAGAAGTCTAGGACCGGCACTGATGCCCATCAGATTAGAGTAAGACCTCATTTGAAACTGTAAAGAGTTTACCGGTACTTGTATTTGTGTGCACTCATTGTGCTTTTGAAAACAAACAGGAAGCCTTTTATAATTGATTGTATTCTGTTTTTCTCCATTCTCAGAAGCACTACAGGTGAGTGATGTGACGACGAATCCTCATGTTCTTCTGTTGTTTATGCATTTACATTTATTATATATTTAGCAGACGCTTTCCATCCAAAGCGACTTATAAATGAGAACAATAGAAGCAGTTAAACTAACAGTAGTACAACAATACGCAAGTGCTACGACCCTTCTCAGCTTAAAAAGAAGAAAAAGACATGTACTGCGTTAGGTTATTTTTTATAAATAGAATAGAAGAGAAGAGAAAGTGTTAGTATTACTGGATCAAGTGCCGAGGTCCGAGAAAGAGATTTTGTGCCTCTTTGAGATGGCACCACAAGACGACGTTCGCTTGCAGAGCGCAAGTTTCCAGATGGCACATAAGTCTGAAGTAACGAGTTTAGGTAAAAGGGAGCAGAGCCAGTGGTTGTTCTGTAGGCAAACGTCAGTGACTTGAATTTGATGCGAGCGGCAACTGGAAACCAGTGCAATTTTGTGAGGAGAGGAGTGACGTGTGCCCTCTTATGCTGCTATTACACATGTAAAAACTATTTTAAATGGATCTATTCGGATTTAATTTTATTCTAATTTAACATAACTTGTCAGTTATCAGATAGTGAGATGGGTTAACGAGCTTCGGTTGTCAGTTAGGGAAAAAACCCGAAGTGAACAATGAACATCCCTCCTCAAAATTCACAAAAAGGGCGTTATTAAATGAAACATCTGTTGATAAATTTTGGAGCTATAAAAGGGGAAACTAATACTACTGTTCATGTGTTACAGCACATTTGCTCTGAATACAAAAATGTGAGTTAATGACAGCAGAGTTAATGACAGCAGAATCAGCAGCTGAAGAAGTTTGTTTGAATATATGGTATAAATGCTCCAAGCAAAAATAGGGATGTTTCTCTTCAGGTGTTGTCCGCCCATGCAGAGCTAATGAACTCACTAAAGCACAACACCAGCATAAATGAGCAAGATAAAACACTAACCAGCCATCTGCTACTCATAATCCAAATTAGTAATGTCAGACTAAACTGAAGAAGCATGATCCAAATACAAATGCAATACTGTAAGAAAAGAAAAACAGAGCAGACCTCCTCACCAGAAGTCACTGCTGAAGGATAATTGAATGAATGTTCCCCATGGTTTTTAGAGCTGCATTAATGAGCCCAACTGGTATCATGCAATCACCACTGCTGAGCTTGAGTGAAAAAAAGACCACTTTGTCAATCACAACTTGACAACATAGTCACTCTCACACCATGTCCTGACCAGGTGCGACACGACCATCTGGGTGTCACTGTCAAGTCATTTTTCTGTTCTAACTAAATGCTGAGAGAAGCAACCAAACATATCTTATGTTTAATGATTCTACCCTACAAGCAAAACAAAAATTGCACACAAAAAAAAGAAAAAAGAAAAAACAAGCTTTCAAACACTTTGTCCCACAGTCATTTTTCAGATAATCATGCTCCAAACAAAACTAGTTTTCTTGCAAATAAAATTGCACATTCTGGAGAGGAAACCTTGAGTATTATGAATTACAACAGTGCATTAAGCATCATTTCATGAACAAAATGAAGAATTAACAAATGCATGACTCAAACGATGTCCAATGAAGTCTAACGATCTGATGAGCCTAGCAAACTGAACTGCTTGGTGCTGGCGTAATCGGTTTAGGCATGGGAAGCGTAGTATCATTATGTAACATCACTGCTAGGGCTCTGAGATGCAGCAAAGAAGAGATTGTGCTCTCAAAACCCAGTTTGCACCTTCTCGCTACTGCACCAAGACAGGCCACGCAATGATGAGACACTGAGGCCTGAAAGCAAAGGGCTGCCTCAGGGGGTTGTGTAGGGAGGGATGTGTAAGCTCTCTGGAAATTCAGGGACTGCACCACAGATATATACTCTTCAGCATCCTGTCCAGCCCCCATTAAAAAGTCATTAGTGCAAAGCAAACCGATTGTTAAGCAGGAGCATAGAGTCACTGTTAATTTGTCCATTTGCAGTTAAGCAAGTGCTAAACAGTCCAAATGCAGTCCCCCTGTGAATCCTAATCAATACGATCAATTGCGTTTGCCATTTCCTGGTAATAAAAAAGGAACAAAATAAATCCTTTTTAAAGAGATAGAATATATGCTATGTTCTGTCACCTCCCTTCTCTGGTCTTAATAACAATTTGTTTTATTTTTTACTGATCAAGAAGTTCTACAATGCTGATAGGTCAAGCCAAGCCTTATGTGGGGCTGGGTATCGGGTATTTTTTAGGCACCGACCGAATTGCCTCGATACCAGAGTATCAAAAAAAATCTTGTCGTTCGGTACCAAATTTCGATACCTATGGCGTTAATCTTGTCAACGTCAGTGAGCCAATAAGCATGCAGCATGATTGGCTGTGGCGAGGCATCAAGGAAGAACACTAGTTTTTATGCC